AGCCTCAATATAAACGGAAGCGTATTTGTAGGACCGTTCGCCTTCGCATAAAACGCCGTAATATTGAGTTATGATGCCCGCAACAGATGCAGCTATATAACTGCATTAGTATCCACATAGAGGAGAGGAAGTTGATCCACCCACCTGGTCGGATAATGGTATATTGCATGACGGACCACTTCAAGGTATACATGAAGTACGGCTTCGTTGGTCGATACCTGAGACAACAAAACTAAAGAGTAGTTTAGCCAGCTAGAAATCAAATTGAAGATTCTCTTCTTTACCGGTAAGGGAAGCTTCGTCTTGTCCTTTCTCAATAGCGCACCCTCCGCTGTTCTTGTGGAAGCTGTATTGGCGACATATTGAATGATGAGGAGCAAGAAGGCGGAGAGTACGAAGGCCTCGTATATGACCTCCACCAGAGAGTAATATCTAGGAATATCAAGCTATTAGTAGGGACATATAACGAACAGATGAACGATCCTTACGTATAAACTCTGAAGAAGCGATATGAAAAGAATGAGATGAGATTTATGGGAAATGTCTGTTGGGTAAATGGATATATGACAGTGATTAGCAAAAATTCCGTGTCGTAGAAATTTTTCGTGATAGGAGCCACACCCAGTTTTCACCTCACATCGCCAACCCGATAGAACTCCAACGTTGGTTAGACTCAGATTGTTGCGGAGAAGGTGGTTGGAGGGTTTGTCCTTGATGCTGCTGCCAAGGCGGTTGTCTCGCCAGCGGTTGAGAAGTGATAGGGGTCATCCTATATGCTTCACTTGTTTCTCCTTCCTCCGTCAGTCGCCCACTGGTAGTAAAATTCGTAGCCGTCCCTGTATCACTATTGGGGGTCTTTGGTCTCATCAGAGCGGAGGAAGGGTCAGTTGATGGCCTTGGTTTTGACAACTTCTTCCTGACTTGTGGCTCCACTCCAAACGCCGTCTCGAATGTAACCTTGTTCTTCGGTGGAGAACGAGCGTGGGTGGGTTACCTGAAAGTCGGAATTGCATATATCTACCTCCTCGAGAGAAGGCGCATAAGGGAGAATAGGCTTTTCGAAATGTAAGCCATGGATTCGAAGAAAGCGTAAGTTAGGGGTGGGATTACACAGTGCTTGATTCCAATTGACGTTGACGGCTCTCAATGGGTGCATATTTATTATGCTAAGGCGCCTCCATCGCCTGAAGACAGAGTTACCCCCTCCAATGATCAGCGATGACACCTTCAAAAG